ACTTAAATTAGAAGGTTGATTGAAAAAAGGAAAAAATATGAACATTAATTAATATTTTATATTATACATTTTTATCATAATTAAATAAGAAATATAAAGTCAAAAGTTCTCAAAGGAAAAAAAAAATAAAGAAAACGAACGAAAGAGGAACAGAACTAAAAGCTACGGAGTACGTACGAAAAAAGAACAGAAAAAAGAAAAAAAGTAATCTTAACTATCAGCAAAGACACGGTCAACCTGCTACCAACAAATGAAACTAACGGGAAGTGCAGCGGAAAGAAAATATAACAGATAACGGTAACTTAACTATTAGCCTATGAAATGGAATTAATTACAAAAATGTCTGGTGTACCATGTTCTAGGTATAGCCAGTTGTACTATACCATGGAATTTGTCTTGTATTTCGAGAATGTTTTACTGTTATTTGGGGAAATGTTCCCTTACTCTAATATTTCGAAACATGTACGATCAACGTTTTTTGGAAAAGCGAAACTATAAAGGCAAGGTAGGACTGTTGGAGTTATTTGTTTTGGCCGAATTAGCTGAAGTTACTGTGGAAGACTATTTTAGCTATTTTCATCTAATTTTTTCTTTACTTTATTAATTTTTTTTATAATTCAGTAAATTCGGTCAATTCATTCGCTTTAACCATAATTTCATCAATTTCAGCACAAATACATGACTTTAGGGTTTACCAAATGGCACTACTACATTTAGAGGCCTTTTGTAACGCTCAAATTTGTTACAATTAGTCCAAAAGTATGTTACGTTACATTATATTAATTGTAACAGTTTTGTGGCGTTACATTTGCTCGCGTTACAGACTTACAGTAGCTCTAATGTAATGTTATGTAACGAATATAAAAATCAACTGTAACGCTTTTTCTCTACTCTTCGTAAGTGTTACAATATCAATTTAACCATTACAAAGTACAAAGGTAACAGTTTATTTCTAAAACGAATGTATCACTTATGATGGAAAATATAATGTAACACTTTTTTTGAATCTTTTTTATAAAATGTAACAGTTTTTTTTAATCTATTTTTATAAAATGTAACAAGTTTTATATATAGATATGTCATGTAATGGAACACATATATATAAATAATATATATTATATTCATTTCCATAATATCTCATAATTCAAAACACATTGTACAACCAAACTAAAATGTAATTCTAAGGATAACAAACAACAAAAATTGTCCACAAAATTGTCAATTGCAATCAAACTATCCACCATAATGTCAATTGCAACTAAACTATTGAGAGCATCATAATCTGGGTCATTTTCTTCATAAGACAACGTCTTTGGCTTGAGAAGCATTCCAACAAGACAACGTGCAGTACGTGTGCGCATCACTCATTGGAATGTTGCATTTCGTCCTCATCATCATGTTTATTACTATCCTGCAAAATAAAGAGTTCAAATAGTTAACACAATTCTTTCACACTACTCAGTCTCATTAGCTTAAAAAATTCTTTATCGCTTTTTCAAGTTATTCAAATAAGTCACAACAATATCTCGGCCAAAAAATAGTAATTCCACACTTCATAGAGATTGCACAACTAGTTATTAAATGCTTCATTCAAGTCCATAGTAATATAAAAAACATGCATTGAAATAGAACAATGTTAATCTAAATCATTAATAACACAAACGATCCATCATCCATGAAACCACATGAACGAGTGAAACTAACAGTCTATGGGACCTAATGAAAAGTGATGATAAAATTACAATTAATTGAATAAAAACAGCAGTATAATATCAAGAAATTATCAGATTAAACATGTATGCAATATAAAAAAGACAATAAGGATTGGAGATTTAAAAAAGGGGAAAATTGTCAAATAGGTCCTCGAACTTTCATAAAAAAGTCAATTACGTCCTTATTTGGAAGCTGTGTTCGGCCGTCGCGATTTGGGGCAGTTCCCGGTGGAATTTTTTGATGCAATTTTTTTAACATCTTATTCATCAAGTCCAGTTTACTGATACCAAATTTGAACTAAAATTTCAATCGGGAACTCATTCAAATTAATTATTGAAGATAACTGCTCATTTAACTGCACAGTTATCTTCAAGAATTAATTTGAATGCATTCCCGATTGAAGTTTTAGCTGAAATTTGGTATGAGTAAATTAGACTTGATGAATAAGATGCTCAAAAAATTTCATCAAAAAATTTCACCGGGAGCCATCCCAAATCGCGAAGGCCGGACAGAGCCTCCTAAATAAGGACTTGATTGACTTTTTTATGAAAGTTCGAGAACCTATTTGACAGTTTTCCCTTAAAAAAAATAATACTAACACAAATGGTATGAATAAAAATAAGAAATTTCAAGAAATTCGAAACATGACACTAAACTATTACCAACAATAGCTATTACAAAACGCACCAATGACCAACCCAATCAGTGATCACCCGATCAATGACCATGACCAATCCGACTAGTGACCATTTTGAACTGACCAATGATCATAACCAATCCACCAGTGACCAATCAATTAGAGTTACTTAACCCGACCAGTTACATCTACCTGACCTAATCAATTACATTCATCTGATCCAACCAATTACAATTACCTGATTCAATAGTGACCACCGCCAGAAACCACCACCGTCCACCACCGCCGGCCACTAGCCAACAATCCCAACCTGTCTCCAAACCAACCCTAACCCCCATGGCCCCTTTAAAGTCTTCCATAAGCCCCTCTCCCGCCTACCCGAACCCCTAGCCCCACTGCCACTGCTGGTCCCTGCTACCCCCGACCACCACCATCACCTCTGCCCAGCCTTCTCACCCAACTCCACAACCCTCATTCCTTACTTGGAGGGAGTCCATCGTTCTGGATTCTTTTTTGTTGATGGAGCAACCGTTGTCGGTCTTCTTAATCAAAGTCGAATGTCTTCGTTGAAGAAGAGAGCATCGATGCAGATCGAAGTGATCATATTTTTGTTCAATCAAAATTCCCTATCCAATTTTTGCCATTTTTCATAAGGGTGTCCACTATTTTTCTCCAATGCTACAATGTGCATGGTGCACATGTGGCATGAGAGACAGCCACATAAGTATTCGTAAATAAATTTTTCATCTCCTTATTTGAATGCTTTTATACAATTTTAGTATGTTTTTCTTGACGATGTCAACCACAATGTCTACATCTACATGATCATCTTGACATTGCAGAGAAAAACTTATCAAAATTATATAAAATTATTCAAATCAGGAGAGAGCTAATTTATTTACTACTCCGTTATATTTATGTAGCTATCTCCAATGCCACATGTGCACCGTGCACATTATAACATTGGAGATCCTCAAATCCTACAGTTCTTATAACGTGGAACCGGTGCATGGTGAGCACCATGCACCCTTTGTTGTTTTTTATTTCTCCTTTTCTTAAAATTGTTAATAATTTTTTTATTTTTGATCCGATTTTTATAAAATTTATATCAAAATTTTTTATTTTTCATGATCTTTCAAATGAGACCAATATTGCCTATGTAATTTTAACATATTAACATTTGCGTGTAAAAATATGTAACTTTACGTGTTAAAATATGTAATTCACGTTCAGTCAGGCCAAATGTAACTCGTGTGTATAAATATGTAACTCTACGTGTAAAAATATGTAACTTTACGTAAAAAATATGTAACTCGCGTTCAGACAGGTCAAATGTAACTCGTGTGTATAAATATGTAACTCACGTGTATCAATATGTAACTTTACGTGTAAGAATATGTAACTTTATGTGTAAATATATGTAACTCGCGTTCAGGTAGGTCAAATGCAACTCGTGTGTATATATATGTAACTCGCGTGTAGAAATATGTAACTTACGTGTAAAAATATGTAACTTCACATATAAAAATATGTAACTCACATGTAACTCAATGATTTTTTATATACACAATTTTAAGATAAATTGTGATTTACACAATTATTTTTTTGTATTAAATTTAGTTCGGTTTTCCTTATAATCCAATAATCATTTATATAATAGTTCCATAATTTGTTAAAATTACATAAGCAATATTGGTCTCATTTGATAGATCATGAAAAATAAAAAATTTTGATATAAAATTTATAAAAATCGGTTATCAAATCAAAAAGTTATTATACTTTTTAACAATAAAAGAAAAAAAATAATGGAATGAAGCTCTGCATCGTTTTGAATGAAGTCTTTTTGAATGAAGCATGCTTCGTTTTGCAACCGGGCGCACCATCCTCATGGTGCGCCGGTTGCACGGTATAAATTGTCAAATCCTAACGTGCACATTATAGCATTTGGAATTGGATGTGCACATAAAGCAGATTTTTGAACTGAAGCTCAAATCCTAACGTGCTTACGTGCTATTGCCTATTTGACATTAATATAGTTTATTAGTTTATACTACGTAATAGATATTGAATCTAGATAAATCTAAAATGGAAGTAAATTGATTTAAATTTCGATCCTAGTATGATTTGACTCTTCATGTTTTTATTGTATTATTACTTTTTTATTTTAGGAAAAGTGTATATAGGTACTTACAAATTCTAAAGGTCGGTTATACCGAATATTACTTAGCTTACTCCGAGTATAAGCTAAAAAGAAGAAAATGTCACCAAACGCCCAAATAGAAATTGAAGCACCGTCATGCATTTTAAGAAGTCGTCACATTCCCTCGTTTTGGTCAAATTATTCAAGCCTCTTGTTTGACAATTTATTTTTAAAAACAATTGAGCTTTTAAAAGCCTTTTGTTTTTACAGAATCTCTAATACAATAAATATGCATACCTAATATGAGAGATACACACATCAAAATATGTAAATATACTCCGTAATACTTTTCTTTTTATTTGAACTATTTTATTATATTTTTGTAATTTCTTTTATTCAAATTATCAAACACACTGTTTGCATATAGATATCATAATTGATATTATCCATAAAAATATCAAAAAGATATAAACTCGTTGAAAGAAAAAGAGAAAAGTGATGATATTGCTTTGATTTTATACATCTGATGTCATATACACGATATGCATTATTACATTGTTGTTTGCAAATGCTCTTAGTGATTAAAATATCTTAAAAAGAGTAATTGTTTTTTTGCTCGAAGAAGGCTTAATTCATAAAAATAGCATTCAGCAAGGGTACAAAACTAGAAAAGAACCACATATAACCATCCGCCCGTGGCTGAGACTGAGAGTTAACCACCTGTAAAAAAACAGTATAACTCGCTAGACCAAAATTGGGCAACTTAAAGCCAATGACGATTGCCACAGACTTTCCTTCCCCCAACCTTAATGCAAGAGTCTTACAAGGAATGAAAACACAAAAGAAAAACATAACAAAACATCCTAAATTAAAGTAACCAAAGCAGACAAAAAGAAAGACACCATTACTAGTTCTCTTCACCACCATCACCCAAGGAAGACACGGCGGGTCTAAGGGACCTGACCCGCCCCTTCCCCATTTTTTGGCCCATCCAGAGCCATTCCTTCACCATTGGCACCCTCCTCAGTCTGACCATCCCAAATCCTTCTGCGCTTTGGTTCTCCAGGGGTCTCTTCCTTGTCATCAATCTCATGCTGTGATGGCTTGCTAGTCTTGGACTCGACCGTATACTCTCCCCCGAGATCAGACTTCCGCTGACCTCCATATTCATCTGAGCTAGAAGCTCCATCAGATAACCATTTGTTATATCCTGTAGGACTGGTCTTCACCCTTCCTCCTGCTCTAAGTCCCACCCCATATGTTTTTTCAGCTACAAAGTGTCACGCCCCAGACCGCAATCCGAGCGCGTGTACAACCGCCGTATAATAAAGTGACGTCACCCGCGAGTCAACCTCACTTGATTACACAAGGTGTTTCGAGAAAATAATCCATCCATACTCAGTAGTAAACATACATAACAACATCACATTTAAACCAATGAATAGCGGAAATATTCAACGGTAAGTCATAGGCCACAACCGGCCAACAACATGGGCATGCAAGCCCCAAAAATAGTTTATAGTAGAACAAATATCCATGAGCAAGTGTTCGGTAGTTTGAAAGAAAATAAGGAAGCACGAACCACGTCTTCCTGATGTGATATCACCCGTGAGAAGGTGCAAGTAGCAAGCTCTAGCTTCAACCTGAAAGTGGTGGGGCCCCCCGAAGGTGTCAGTACAAGTACCGAGCGAGTAGCAGACTAAATATAGAATAACTAGCGTTTCAAGTATAAGACCCAAACATAGGGTGATACTTAAATAAATAGTCTTTCCCCCAAGTTATGAAATACTTAATAGTATATATATACTTGGAAAATATCCGATCCGTAGATCACCATTTTATTTGGGAAAAATAGTAATAGTCAATATTCTTGACTAAAAACCCCAACCCACCCATATACCTATGAGTGTATAGGACTCCTCCTTGTCCCTATTTGTATATCATAATCTATGAGTTTTAGGATCATAATCCTTGGATACTCCACCGGTTTGTGAGTGTTAAGGACTCATAAGTCCTAGGGTCCTCCACCAAGTTTTGAGTGTTAAGTACTTTTAAGTACTAGGGTCCTCCACCAAGTTTGAGTGTTAAGGACTTTAAGTCCTAGGGTCCTCCACCAAGTTTTGAGTGTTAAGTACTTTTAAGTACTAGGGTCCTCCACCAAGTTTGAGTGTTAAGTACTTTTTAAGTACTAGGGTCCTCCACCAAGTTTTGAGTGTTAAGTACTTTTTAAGTACTAGGGTCCTCCACCAAGTTTTGAGTGTTAAGTACTTTTTAAGTACTAGGGTCCTCCACCAAGTTTGAGTGTTGAGTACTTTTTAAGTACTAGGGTCCTCCACCAAGTTTTGAGTGTTAAGTACTTTTTAAGTACTAGGGTCCTCCACCAAGTTTGAGTGTTAAGTACTTTTTAAGTACTAGGGTCCTCCACCAAGTTTTCCTATGATCAACCTCCTATCAACCTAGATAGAGTCTATATCATACTTAGTTACTCATAACTAATCCAATACATAAATCTTATCTATCACAATCCATGCAAAACCATGCATTTATATAGATTTATAATTAATTAATACCAACCGGTATTAATTAAATCCTTTGTTCTTCGGTCCCCGTTTTCGTTGACCGCCATTTCATGCCTTTTGTGTATCAATTTAATCATCATATAATTAAGTTAATAATATTCATTTGTGCTTCTAATACACTTCAAGCAAATATGCATTTCATATAATTCTTCATATCATATTCCATGCATCAACAATTAATTTCTTTCATACAAACTTAACCCTATTGGCTAATCACATGTTTAAATATCTTTTAAACATCATTATGAACTCATATAACATTTATTTAGGTAATATCATAATTAACCCAAAAGTTATAAGATATTAAGCCGTCCACTCACCTTGAACCAGCGTTATGAAGTTCTACCCTTCTTGGTTGAACTCCGGTGAAACTCCGGCGACTTTTGGTCAACTCCGGCGACTTTTCCAACTTTGTGAAATCACTCGAAATACCCTTCACAAGTGCCTAACAAGGTTTTATAATCATAAAACTCATATTAATACAAATAACCTCAAAAAGGTTATTTTCCGGTGAACCGGTCGTTTTGGCTTCTAAGTCCGTTCTTGGACTTAGAACCATCTTCCAACCCATAAATCCACACTTAAATCATGTATAACAACCCTAAGGGTTCTTCATATGATATATATATCCTATGATGGAAGAAAATTAAAGGAAAAGTTATGATAAGGTTATTACCTTTATTTTCACACTTTTTCCTAGCTTTTTCCTTCTTTAAACTCCCTCTTTTTCCTTGTTTGAGTTTGAGCTCGTGTTCATCTATGGAAAGTGGAGTTGCAGAGCTTCCTCTCTCTTTTCCTTTGGGTCTTGGCCGAGTGTGATAGGGATGGGTGAGTGAGGGGATAGCCTCTTTGGCTTTTCTCTCAAAATAATGTGGGGATGGGTCCTCCCTATTGTACCTTTGATGCCAAATGCATCTCCTCCCCATTTCCTTTTGTCAACCCAGCCCCCTTTGTCCAACTTAGCACAAAAAAACGTGGGGTGGCCCCCACTCGTGTGGGAGGTCATCCCTTTGTGTCCCGATGTGTACAATTGGTCCCGAAAGTTGTATTTTTTCGGACTGTTTTAATTATATTTTATTTTATCGGGTCAAATAAAATATATTGTGTGCTCTCAATCATAATTCCCCTTTGAAATAATATTTGTTCTAAAACTTTAATTTGGAAGTCTTCGTACTTCATTTCCGGGCTGATATCCGTTAAATTGTCGGTACCGGTATTTGGGCCTCTTTTGCCCAATCGGTCAACTCTGGGCCTTTTCACGACTCAAATAAAATGTCCACCACCATATAAATATTATTTCGACCCATAAGAATAATTTATGTGATCTCGGGAATATCGGGCGGCCCCCGCTCCCGGTGTGGGTCCCACGTGCAATTTACTATTCACACAAACGAAATAATAAAAATTTACAACTTCGTAAATTCATTAATCCTTTAATAAGGTTCAATACATTATTTACATAAAAGTAAATATATTTGGGGACGGTGTTACACAAAGCCCTCTTCATACTTCAATGGACAGAACTTGTCAGAATGTCCGATAATACCACAAATAAAGCAAAAAATGGGTAGTTTTTCGTATTTAAAATCTACCCAATGTTTCACCCCATCCTGTGACAAATTGGTACCTTTTTCAAAGGCTGACGAACATCTAAACACACCCTTATTCGCAGATAAGAACTCTTCTTTCCATCAAATTGGCTCATCTCAAATTTGATAAAAGAGCCTAAAAAATTACCAATTTTCCTGGCAGATCTCAAATTCCTATACTTTATAGGGGCATTATGAACCTGTACCCAAAAAGTAGCCTCAAACAAGTTCATTGATTCAGGTATATCATCTGGTTGAACAACTTTAATTTTAACAGTATTAAATCACGTTCAAAAAGCCAAGGACCATCCTCAATCACACGGTTCATATCCAAAACATGATTAAAGTTTAGCTGATACCTTCTTTCGCCGATCTCTTTGATAGACACCTTTCCCTGGTTTCCAGATAGAAGTCATCAACTCTTGAAACCCGGGTAATTTAACCTTACGGTCGGTGATGACAACCCCAACCACCGAAAAAGTCGCCGGTTCCTTCTCCTCCTCGCCGCCCTCCTCTGGTTCTTCGTCGAAATTAAGCTCATTGTCTTGCTCCTTCATTGACATCTTCTTGTACGAAGCAACTATATCCTCCATGCAGTGATTTCTTTGTCCGAACCGACTCCCTCGCTTCTAACCCTCGCTCTCAGCCCCTGCGAATCCGGCCCGCACTTCGCCTGAATCTCCTTCCCTGCTAGTCGCCTGAGTCTTCTTCCCTGCTATGCGATTACCGATCCTCGGCCAAACACCGAGATCGGAAAACTAACCCTAGCGGCTGAGCCCTAGGAGTACCGAAAGTCTTGAGAGAGAAACTCTCGCTCCGGATTGTGCGTTATTACATATGGAAAAGAGTAATTGTTTGATAAAAGTTTATTGCTTCGCATTTTCTTTGATATGCTGATACTACGTATATAAGACGCTTTTGTGTGTGATTGCAGCTAAAAGTAATAAATTATCTGTAATAAGCTAAGTATTCCGAGAGATTTCAAAAATAATCTTAAATTAAGTTAAAAAAATTGCAAAAATGTTATGTTCAAATATACAAGAGCTTTGAAGAATTCTTTTGAAGAGAAAAAAATCATTTAAAAAAAAGAATAGTGTATTTGTTTGATAAAATTTATTGTGATCAATTAATGTTAAATGTTATAAACATTCTCTTAGAAATTATGCAGCCTACGTAACTTGTAAAAAATCTCATTTAAAAAAAAAAAAACTCTAGAAGTTTATTGAGCAAAAAATACGACTAACATAAAAACTTCTAAAGATATTTTATAAATACAAATGTTAGATGACAGAGATTTGGGCCTTTTTCTTGAATTCAAAAGATAAGAAATATGAGTTATTTTAAACTTATTACCAACAACTGAACAAAGTTACATATTCAATTCGGTAGCTACTAGTTTGCATTAATTCGTCATTTACCAATAATTTGTAATTCTGAAGTCCACTATACTTCTTGTTCAATTACACATACAGTGATTAATCATATTTTTGTTCAAAAATATATCAAGTCATAGATGTGATGTTTAGAAAAACTCTGTTATTAATATAGATGTCATTTTATCTGAAGCCTTATGTATATACTACCTCCGTCCCGTTGGAAGATTCCCATAGCAAAACGATACAGTTATTTAGGTGATAATTAAATAAAGTACTTCGGATATATTTTGAGAAATAATTTTAATAGGTATATATATTATAATGTGTTAGTATTGATAACTGTGATGTTATAAATATATTATTTTTAATATTTAATGACTAATTTGTCACTTAATGTTGTTAATTAATTATTTCCTAAAATGGACATGAGAACTTTCTAATGGGATGTCCAAAAAGGAAAGTAGGAGTCTTCCAACAGGACGGGACGGAGGGAGTACTACGTATTAAATTAAACATACTACGACTATCTACTACATGATACATGCACGAACTCATAAAATAAAGATGAAACATACAGCTTGGTCCATTATATAATGGCATTGATTCATGAACATGCTAGATCACACATAAGATATGGCGATGATTTAATTAATTAAGATGCATGGTATGTGACTAAGTTCTGGTTCAAAGCTTAATGTGTCGTTTAGTTGGGATAGAACAAGAATTTCAAAGGCGAAGCTGGCATGCATCTCTTCGATAGGGACAACGTTATGAGGGCTGAAAATGACGGCCGCGCCGCTGCGGCAAATCCCGCCGTAAGCGGAGGCCGTCTCCAACCAATCCCTATTCCTATTTTTAGCAGTTTGTTAAACTGCAATAATGATCCAGCCATGTGGACTAGTCAAACAGCCCCGATTTCTATTTTCCTTCACCCATCTCTTCAATGATGAACATAACCTATATACTCTTTTGTCTTTTATAGTACGGAGTCATTAACGGCCTTCCACGTTATTATACCTCAATAGGAATATAATTTTTCTAGAATATCTTCAACCTCCATCTTTTGCCAGCTTAATTTACAAATCCTACGTTATACTATTTCAAGCAAAAAGTCATTTAATAAGATCTCATATAATTAATCGTATTACACCCATGTTACATACTAGATATTGTCCTATACTAGTACTCTTTAATTCTTGCAACACTTTGACTTTCACTTTGTCAATGCACAACTATGACTATAATTATATTTAATTACGTATTAGTAAACATTATAAAAAAGTTGATATTTTGGAAATTCACAATGATAGGAATTCAATAACATTTTCTAAGTAATAATTTAATTGTGTATATTAGTAGAAAATCGTAGTCAAAGTAAGATCTTTGAATCGTGCAAAAAACATATTGTTGCAAGAATTACAAAACGGAGGAAGTATATCATATTCTAAACATTTATAATTAGAAGTACGTGACCATTGACCATTCATGAAACACAAATTATAACTATATACTCCATCCGTTCTCTAATACTTGTTTCTCTTTCCATTTTGGGATGTTCTCTATTATTTGTCTCCCTTTCCATTTTTGGTAAGTTTTTTTCAATAAATATATTCATTTACCCTCATTCGCTTTCCTACTTTTTCATTTTCTTTCCTACTTTTTCCTTTACACACAACTCACTACACCTTTTATCCTACACATATTAATTTCTTCTTAAATCTTGTGCCAAGGCCTATATATACTCCCATCTATTAGAAAACGGAGGGAGTATATTAAAGAGTACTGGAACTCGTTTTTACTTACTCCGTATTTTTTAGGCCTGGGACCGGTTCGGTTCTTAGGCAAAATATGTGGAACTGTTTGAAAATATGAAATTTTACTAACGGTTCGGTTCTTATAAATTATTTGATAGAACCGATAAGGAACTGAACCGTTCTTAACGGTTCGGTTCTTGTCATTTAACGGTTCCTAGTCTTTGAATTTTTTTTTACAAATTACAACTAAATTTTTGGCAAAAAGACATTCAACGTTGAAAATTACAATACAAATATGTTGAACCAGTTAAAGAGAATAATAATTTTAAATAGTTTGGACCTTCCGAGTTCCGACCCGCTGGAGTTTGGACCTAATGAGAGGCCTAAGAAGCCTAAGAGAACCGGTTGAAGTGAATAATAGTTTTAAATAGTTAAATAACAAAACTAAAACAATGAATGTAATATAAAAATAAGTAAGTAAATATGCATTAAAATATATATACTCCTAAGAATATGTATATAATTTTATTTATTATATATAACGGTTCCTTAACGGTTCTTGGTACATATTTTTTTCAGGAACCGAGAACCGAACCGTTAATAAAAAAATAGGAACCGAACCGTTAACAAATAACTAATAAATGTTGGAACCGAACCGAACCGAGTCATAACGGTTCGGTCCGATTCGGTTCTCCGGTTCTTGGTACCAAAGTCCCGACCCTAGTATTTTTCATAAACAAATAATCAATCTCAATTTTGCACAAAGAATGTTTTTAGTTAAATTAGATTTTCCCTCTCAGATCTAGTCTTGTCCGATGGATGTCTAACATATAGTAACTCCGTCCGGCTAAGATCTTCTTAGTTTGACCTACACATATTTAGGAAATAAATTTATCTGGGGTAAAATTTACTGTTTTGACACTGTTTGGACACTGTTTGACACCGTTTTGCACTGTTTGGCATTGTTTTGATGTAGAATAACTTTCCATATATGGAAATGAGAACTTCATTTTGGGACTGCTAAAAAAGGAAAGTAGGAAGATCTTAGTGGGACAAAGGTAGTATGTAATTTATGATTGTTGGAGTCTAATTTGTTCGTGTCTGT